TATATATATATATATATATATATATATATATATATATATATATATATATATATATATATATATATATATATATATATATATTGGTTTACCCACGAGACTCTCGTGTGTCATAAAGTGTCAATGCACACAATTTTATTGAGACTTGAATCTTGATACAAATGGATATATCAAATATAATGAAATTAATTTTGTAACTCGAATCAAAATATATAAATAACTTATTTTCTGAACTCAAAATTGAGATATTGGAAGATTTTTTTTTGCCTTCCAATATATCAATAGGTTGATTATTTCGCTCTTCTATCTTCCAAAAAGAAAAAAAAAGATTCCTAAAAGTTATTTTTTGGATATACAAGAGAGCATTTGAGAGATGAAATACGTGAAACTCAAAATCTCATGTTGTTTTTAAGGCGTAATATTGAGAACGCTCACTAAATGAGTAATAAATTTCAGATCTAATTAATTTTAATGTATCAAATATCATTAAGTGAGTGATACATCATTGCAACATCTTGAACTTGAATCTCGCTTTCATTATTTTATCTTTATAAAAAAATATTTTAAAAATATTAACTAATTATTTTCTCTTAAGATATAGATTTTTTTTTTCCAAAAAGGAGAAAGAGAAGCCAAATATTCTAATTTTAGTACTATACATGAATAATAATACAAAACATATGGGTGAAATACCGAGTTTTAATCAACAAACATCATAATGCAAAATTAAAACTTAGTACAACTAAATTCTCCCAACATTTATTATCATCTTTGATTAATTTTATGATATCAATTGGGAGTCTATCATTACTACCGAGCTTAAGCATTTTAATTAATAATTTATATTTATAGGTCAATTATCTCGACACAATAAATTATGCGAGAGTGAATATGATATTGGACATTACGAGAAAACCAAATAAATCTACAACTTAATGAGTTAATCTCTTTGATCAATCCAAATATGATATATTCAAATTTTATAAAGAAAAAGAAAAAATAATTTTATTCACTCCCCAAAGCACCTTTGTCGATGGTGAAACCATTCATGAATCGATGTCATGTTGTAAATTAGGAATACAGTCAAGAAATAGGTGTTAAGTTGGACACTTCTTTCATAGTCATGTGGTGCTACTCATAGTCACATCTCTCTCTCTCTCTCTCTCTCTATCTCTCTCGTTTTCCATCAACCCCCTTTCTCTATCCTAAACACTATCCCCCATCCCTCCGGTGTTTGGCCAAAGAGACATGAGAACTCCGAGGCCTTTATTCCCTCTCCATTTTCCAAGGCATCGAGATGTGGGAATCCACTAAGCACACATGCACTGTAATATGTGAAATCTTTATTCCATCAACCCCTCACTAAGGACTAATTAATTAGTTATCTTTAGAATTTAAAATTATATTAAGATTCTTATATTTACGAAAGTAAAATATATAATTTTATTGTTCTAACAAAATCTCTCTCTTAATTTTTAATCTTATAATATTGTTGTTTTAATCATATATAATGACTTAAAAATTTCACTTTCATAATTATAAAAAAATTAATATAATTTTTAAAAATATAGGAACCGAAATACTAAATATATCTAATTAATGAGATAATATGTAATAAATCTCCTAATTAATTATCACCATTTTTTTTATTTACTATCCTAAGTTCCAAACGGAGAATTTTCACATTTTACGTTTAGAAAATGCTTCCTATATGATATGATGTTGGCGTTTTATTAGGAAATATTATAGTTTTTAGAATTCATCCACAAGGGTTATATTTTTTTTCAAATATATCAAAGAGTGCCATATCTTTTTTTATTTTTCTATATTTATAATTTTACTTTTTTATTTTTCTATTCATTCATTGGTTTAAACCATAAAAAAAATAAAGATATATACAGTAATTTATAAAATCTTGAGCCTTTTTTTGTGGAATAATTTTTTTTTCTTATCGTTCATAAATAAAATCCAATGAATTTGTGGTTTCATGCCTCTTTTCTTTTTTCTATATAAAGTAAAATGATAAAGATGGAACCCACTCTAAAATATGGCTATCAAACATTAAGATATTTACCGATTAATTTGATGGGATCTCAATTGGATGAGTCCATCACACACCACATTAATGTTTTAGTGCAAAATAAATTAACCGATGAAGTTTTAACGTTCATATGCCACATCATAATTAAATTAATATTTTGAATGTAAAAATTTTAGTGCAATTATTCACAAGTAAACTAATTTACTAACTGTCAATAATAAACTTAAAAATAGAGATGATCAATATTTAGTTCGAATCAAAATCAACTCAATCTAAAATCGAAATCGAATCGGGTCAACCATTCTAAATTGAACTAGGATCATTATTCCTAAAAATTAGAATCAGAATCGAAATAATAAGTTTTAAATCGATTAAATATTAACAACTAAATAATAAATAATTTTTATGATATTGTGATTAATAATTTAGATCTAAAAATATATTGATATTAAGTCAATGGTTCGATGATTCCGAATTGAACTAAAATTGGGATCGATTCGATTTCGATTTCTATAAATTAGAATCAAAATTAAAATCATCTGTTCAAATCGACTATATATATATATATATATAACATATAAAATATGAATAGTTTTTGGTTAATACTTTAGATTTAAAAGATAGTGACTATAATTCAAATAATCAGAAGAGAACTATTCAAATAATGAAATTTGATGTGTTAAAAGACCAAATTGTCCTCGTGTGAAAACGATTCTACCATAAAAGAGGAGGGCAGTTTGGGTTCATCCCCATCGAGAACAGCTCGAGACCTCATGTTCGAAAGCCGCCGGCACAGGACACGAGCCTCGCGCAATGGACATCTCACCTTCAACACCGACCGCTTGTGGCCGACACCAAATTTATCTGCAGTCCTCCGATCATTATCGGACTGCCGGTGAATCGTTACACGCAAGCTTCGAGGAGTTCACACGGCTTCCTCACTTTCAATGCCAACCCACAAGAGAGGTGTTTTCCGGGGAAGGACGGAGACCGGGGGGGGGATGGAAGTGACGGGAGGATGTCACGCCCTTCGTATTCTTGGAAACGAAGCACTCTTTGCTGTTCCCTTTCGCATCATCCCGTTGCCATCATACGAGAAAAAGTAGCGGTCGAGCTTGGAGATCTCTCCAGCCATGTCTTTTCGTGATGTGCTGGACAGCGACTTTGGAGGAATAGCAGCTCAAGCGCAGATGAGAGTTCGACATGTCGATCGTCCTAAGAGAAGACTGTCATGGATGCATTTTTGTGAGAAGCTACCGTCAGCATTGTTATACGGGTGAATGAGAGTCAACGGAGGAGGCTATGTGACGATATATCACGACTGAATGCTTATTACATCTGCAAGTTCGAGGAATGAAATTGGACACTACTCAATAATAATAATATTTTTAATTATTCTGATCTTAGTTCTACAACTGAATCGATTTCAAGCACTTCCGATTTCGATTCAGGAACACATTTTAGATTTTCGATTCAAAAACTAAACCAGAGATCTAAAACATGAGACGACAGAAGACTTTTGTTACTGGGACAGAAATCATGACATTAAGGTCACAGTGGGGGCTGAAAGAAATCACTGAGATTATAGTTACAGAGATTCTGATAGGATTTCCTGTTCTTGTAAATGTCACTGTTCACTGTATCAGAAAAGAGGTCAGGAAAAATTCTCAGATGGCATTGGAAGGCAAAGGTCAACGAGTCTAGAACAATTAGGCAAGCGCAATTGTCATATCCTTGACAAACTGGACAACAATTGTCTTTGCATTTGAAGGAATCAAAGGGAGAGAGATTAAAGTTGACATCAGACCAATGAAGTCTCACATCTTACAAATAATATCAGATTCATAGAAGTTTGCCACATGCTACAACTGTTCACAGCATTCTCTATATTTCTATGGAATTGACTAATTTGTTCTGATTGTGAATTGTCAGTTGGTTTTCAACAAAGTGAGGTATCACAAGCAACTTTAACGACAACCAAATCTGATGACATCAAATGTGCAGATCTGCTGAATTATATATTTAAGGTGTAAGAATACAAATAGCACTTGTGTCCCTTCCAACTTGCGGAGATGCAAATACATGCATATATACAACCACAACCCATTGGCATCCCTTTGTAGTCCACACATATTGTCAATCTCAAATGCCCACAATCCCCTTGCTCTATCGAAGAAACCGAAGAAAAGAAGAAAAAAGTGGGAAGAACCAACTTTCGGGATCGTTACGGAAACAAATATGACAAGAAAAAAATATATCAAAAAGCTAACCAAACAAGATCTCAAGTTTGAAACTCACAAATATATGTCTGTTCAGTTCTCATCTACCCTCGCTTTTCAACTGCAAAGATCCATCCTTCATCAGTTTTGAGCTTAGGTTACTGAACCGTTCCCTGGAATACTGCCTTGACGCCTTCCTCCAATCCGTACCCGCTTTCATCATCGTGGCAAACTCCTCGTAGCTTATTTTCCCATCCTGAAATTGAAGAAAAGAAGATGAAAATTTCAACTTATTAGTGTTTTACCATGAGAAGAACTGTCTAAGCACAAGGCACTTTTCCTATTTATCATTCATCTAGAAAGTTGTCGACCGATAGCCTTCTGATAAGGAAAACTACCAAAATCTTCAATTTAGATCTATGTTTACATTCTACAAACTAGAATAGGTATATTTTTACACCTTGAGAAGGCTTTTTCTTTTTATATTGAGAGGAAAAGAGACAGAATATAAAAGGAAATGGGAAGAAATAGAGCTACAACTGGAAGCTAACATATAAGTATAAAACTGACCTTGTCGGTGTCTACATCGCGAATAATGGCGTTAATCACTTCTTCATGGTTTGGACCCAATTCATCAGCCAAACAGTCACTGAGCTCTTCAATTTCTATGTATCCAGTATTATTTCGATCAAAATATCGAAAGGCCTTGTGCAGGTGCTCATCATTTCCGATCTTTCTTATGTGGATAGAGACAGCAACAAATTCTCTATAGTTCAGAGAGCCGTTTCCATCGGCATCAGCCTGTCATGAAGAAGGTCAACAAGTTTAAAATAGCAAGAGTAAGTATTCATGTTCAGCACTCGCATCTGTTGTATGCTACACTTGGGCACCATAGCAGGGTCTGCTTTTGCAGAATAATCTCTGCACAGCTAAACTCTTCAAACTTATTGAGAAATCAACCAAAACACCATGCATTATTGAATGATACAATTTAGCATCTAATCTCTGAATGTCATGTTCTTATCAATCAACAAAAAAAATCCTAAACAAGCATAACAAGATATCAAAAATCACGAAATCACATGTTCATACCTTTAACATTCCATGACAGACCAAATTAAACCAATAATTGAGCATGAGATTACCTTGATGAGGTACAAATTTACAGAGGATAATAAATAAAAACTAAATGTTCAGGAAGAAACTTACTGCATCCATTAGTATCTTGAGATCTGCATCAGAAATCGGGTATTCAAGCTTGTGCAAACCATGTTTTAGCTCCTCAAGTGTTATTTGCCCTTTGCTGTTTACGTCTATCTTCTCAAACATATCCTTTATATCAGCAACCTCTTCCACAGATAAATGTTCAGCCACCACCTGCAGGAATGCAGTTCCAATTGTATCAGCATTAAATTTGGCCAGATGACAAGGAATATATAAAAAGTTGTGAATCTTGATCAAGTGTATCACAAGGATGACTCTGCGATAAACATGGCCATGCACATAGGATTGCTTATGATGATGTGTTAAAGAGGATAAGAAGTCCATTAATACATGCAACAGATTCTTACCCTAAGAGCTTTCTTTTTAAATTTGTTCATCACTGAAAATTGCTGCAGTCTTGCGCGAACACTTTCACCAAGATTAACGTTGGGAGCCTTCTTGGCATTTTGCAACCACGGGTGATCTGCAATGCAGGGAAACACTTCTAAGAATGAAGCACATGCCACATGAATTACTTTAGATGTAGATAAAACCCAATAGACTGCACAAATAGTTTTTGTGAAGTCTAAATCTAAGTTGAAGGAAACAGTATATTAGTATTGTAAAAAAACATCCTACATGAAAAGGACAAAAAGCTATTCGTCATATGATGAATTCAACAAGTTTGTTTTTGGTATCCAGCATTGCACACTTTATTTGATGTAAAAACAAAAGAAATTGAAGATTGCCTACCGGACACAATCATTTCTGGATGTTGTTATTCATAGGTTCGGTTCCCTCATGTTATTGGGAAGCATGATAGGAGGATTGTTTTCCTTAAAGTCCTTGGTACGTTTTAGAAAGGACAGCAAATATGATTTAGTCAAACAGAAAAATGTCAGTTCAAGCAATACTTAATGAAGAACAGGTAGGTAATGAAGATTTACCAAGCACTTCCTGAGCTGTCAAACGTTTATTAGGATCTGGATCAAGCATTCGTTTGACAAGGTCTTTGGCAGCATCAGAAACCTTTGGCCACGGGTCTCTTCTAAAATCGATAACAGAACGAATAATTGCCTGTGCAATGCCTTGTTCCGTTTCTGCATAAGCACCGGATGTTAATTAACTAACAGATGCTCAGTGGATTATCATATGGACTTGACTATATAGCTCTGTACAGTTCATCAATTGGTAATGCATGAAGTATCAAATGATCTGATTTCAAACTGTATCCGTCCCTGGAATTCTCTTCCTTTTGGCTTTCAATGGAGAAAATTACCTGCCCAAAATGGTGGCACACCACAAAGCAGGATGTATAGGATAACTCCTGCACTCCAGACATCAATTTCCGGGCCATAGTTTCGCTTTAAAACCTCCGGAGCCATGTAGTAAGGACTGCCAACTATCTCAGTGAAGCGCTCACCTGTGCAGCAAAAATGAAACCAGCAAAGCTGTCAGAAATCATGAGATCACCTACACACTATTGCTCCATTAACTGGTATGACCAGCGATTGAATTTTCATGAACTTATAGCAACTCAGGTATCAAAAAGCATTTTGAGTTTCATGCTGAAGGATAATAACAGGAAAACATGATACGATACCATCAAAATATTCTTCATATTATTGTAATACCTGGTTTAAAAAATACAGACAACCCAAAATCGATCGCTTTCAGAGGGGCATTTTCGTTTTTGTTTCCAAACAAGAAGTTCTCAGGCTTGAGGTCTCGGTGCATCACCCCATGCATGTGGCAATTCTGCGACAGCATAGAGCAAATAATTACATATCAGCAGATTAACTAATTTGATAAGATTTTAGTCATACCAACATTAAAATCCAGCTTCGAAAAGCATCGTATTTCAAGCGACATATATAGACGAGTCATAATTCAGGCATGAAAATGTTCAAATCCAGCTTGAATGAACATGTTATGCCATTGAACCTAAACAGAATGCAACCTGGAACTGCCACTAACAAGCAGAGTACCCCCAATTTTGCTCATGAATGAGAGCAATTAGGACCAACAAAAGGAGGTTAAAGATCCGGGAAAAAAAAAGAGAAACAAATGTTTTGCAAGTTTGGGCCGTAGAAGTTCCACAAATGGTTTATCAACAAATTTTTGAGGTGATTACACAGCATAAAATAAATAGTTCCTCAACAGAGAAAGTAAAAAAAAGGAAGAACATTGTCCTTTCACAACAAATATGTATATATATTCTCAGGAGATCCAAGTGCACAAAATAGCAAGAATGTCGATGAATTCTATGATCAAAAGGATTAGCAAATGGAAAACAGGGATCCAATTTAGAATCAAAAAGAAGAAGTAGATAATGGAAGGGGAACTACCTGCACCACTTGGACGATTGTTCGGATGACCATGGCGGCCGCCCTTTCGGTGTAATGCCCCCTCGCAACGATCCGATCGAACAGCTCCCCTCCTTCGCATAGCTCCATGACCAGGTGGACAGCGGCGTCGTCCTCATAGGTGTCCCTGAGGCTCACGATGTTGGGGTGGCTTGGCAAGTGCCTCATGATCTCCACCTCCCTCCTCACATCCTCGATGTCCACGATGGTCCGCAGCTTCTTCTTGGAGATGGACTTGCAGGCGAAGAGGTCCCCTGAGTCCTTGTCGGTGCAGAGGTAGGTGATGCCGAACTCCCCACGGCCGAGCTCCCGGCCGAGGTCGTACCGGCTCCGGATGTCCCGGCCGGCGGAGTCCTTGAGGACGACGAGGCTGGGTGTGGGTCCGTGGTGGCCATCGGTGGAAAAGGGGTTCGGTTTCTTCTTCTTCTTCGCCTTCTTCTTCTCCGGATCAACAGGGGCGGCGCAGCAATTCCCCATCAAAGTTCAGCAATTTCTTCGATCAAGATCTGATCTTTTCAACGTTTTCTTCAGGGATTAACCTAACCAAGCCTAGCTAAGATGGAATCCTCCAAAACCCCTCAACGAAATTAAAGGATCAAGCTTGGAAGGTAAAACCCGTTGGAAAATCTAAGACAGAAAACGGCGCCTTTGTATGGATAAGAATCACCCAAATCCACTTCTTTCCTCCGTTGTTCCTCCCAATTTAGCTTCTTCCAAAAAAAAAAAAACTTGGGCTCTGGCGCCTCTCTTTTCCCTTCTCCCCTCTCCAACTCTCTCAATCTGATCAGAACCGAGTGCAAAGCAAGGGTTTTTATGGGGTCATGAGGCGTGCTACGATCCCCGGGCTTAAACAAGAGAACTAGAACGTCATAAATAGCAACAACTCATTCAACAGATGGGGGGTTTGAATCAGCTAAGGAAGGTGGGAGGAGAAGGTCAAAGATTCCAACTTGGGCCTCCCTCTACTCGCAACAACAATGAAAAGGAAGGAGAAACGAGAGGCAAATTCTGCTCGCTTTCTTACGCTGCAAGATCACTTGTTTAAGTTGGTCAAACCAAGAAAAGATCTGCCTTCTTTTCCCTCCAATTGCGACATCAATCTAACAAGCTAAGGCTTACAGGGATGAAGAAGATGCCCACTTCTAGATTATTTTTAGCCTCCTTTGTGTACCGAGCTACACTTTCAAACACAAGACTTGACCATCTAAGAATATGCTGACCAGTTCTCCCCTCTCTCTCGACAGTTACAAAGAAAGAAAACACAGTCTTATCAATCAAAGCAGATGATTTCTTTCTGCTGTTCCTCTCACAGAAGAAAACATCGGTGTTTTGAGCTCAAAGATCAAGCTGTAGGAGGAGAGGCAAATAATAAATTGCGAGACCTTCCCGGAAATTTGCAGCATTAAAAATCTTGACTTCTCCCAGAGAAGCACCTATCCGTCCTGTTCCATCTTTGTCCGGCTACATGAATGCCACTAAGGAAGCTATCATCCTCAATAAATATATCGATCATCCGTATCTTCGTGTCACATTAGTTTTACAGACACTAAATTTAAATTTAGGAATATAAATGTATAAAATCGATAATTTTTAGAAGTATAACTAAATAATTCTATTTAGTATGATCAAAGGAGACATGAGAAATTATTGTGGGCATGCTACAGTCAAAAGTTTGCGAGCCCAAGACCTTGCCCGTTGACTTAACCCAAGGGTTGGAAACAGGAACGAGAGACATGGAAACCTGGCAAATCTGGTTGATTGGTCAACCACGTTACGTGGAACTCGAATCTCGATCGAGGATAACGTGTCGCCTGGGGCTTGGACTTGATTTGACTTTGGCAGGATCATGTGGAGACCGTGAAACCGTTGACTTTGTGTGGAGCTCCACCCGTGAATAACGCTTGTTGGAATGTGCTAACCAACTTAATCGATTATTCGATGCGTAGGGGGGATTCCAAATCAACGGAGATCTACTCTCAGTACTTTGTTTTTTTTGGAGTTGACACATCGGAAAATAAGATAATTTGGTCCCAAACCACACAAAAAGATAATTTAGAGTATTTTTTTATTATTTTTATAAATCTTTTTATGGTGTTCTTAAATCTCTTTTCTCATCGATCATCCTAATAAACTAATAGTATTTAGTCATGAATAAAATGATAGAAGAATGATTTTCAAAAGAGGTTTAAAAAAATCATAAGAAAATATAAGTCTATAAGAATATTGATAAATCATCACAAGATGTTAGATACGAATCTTATGATTTAGTAAATATTGATGGTTTAATATATCACTCAATAAATTTATACCTCAAATGTTAATATAATAGTGATATATTGTGCATGATATGTAGTACCGAATGATACTGCGGCAGTACATACCGGTCCGACGACATATTGGTATGCGGACCATCCGATATTATTACAGTGCTACAATATTACATTATAGTAGTACTATAGTGCTACAGTACTGTATGCTACAGTGTTATACTGTAGCAATGCTACCGTACTACAGTATAAAGAAAATATATAAAATTATTTGGTACACCGATATCGTACCATATCGAATCAACCTCGAAACACCGGTATGATACGGTATTGCATGTCTTGGTATTGTGATCATTTAAAATATTTATATGGTGATGAATAAAAAACTATTTAAGACAAAAAAAAAAAAAAACAGAACTCACTTCGTTAGCAATGGCGCCTGACACATCAATGTCCGATGAACAGCAACAATGCTATAGCATCCCCTAACGCTCTCTTCGGCTGCTCCATCAGTTGAAGGCTCAGCCTTACCTTCAACACACGAAACTCCATCGAGCTCCATCCCCATCCTTGTCTCTCTCCTCAGGCCGTCGACTCCGATCCATTAGCAGTAGTTATAACACTTTATGTTGATTAATTGGTTAAAATATATTGAGATCTTAATTGAATTTTGAGATTATCGATCAATAAAAAAATTTATTTATGATAATTTATTAGGAGATGGGAGAAACTCCTAATTACTTATCCTAACCTCTATTCTTATTTTTTTTCATATTTAACTTTTTATTTTCTTGTATAGATTAACGTGATGGGCCTAATCATATCATTAACGTATTTATAGATTGTTACAATATGTTACTTTGCGACATTCGAAATATCATGTTGATTATCATGTTCAAAGATATACAATTTTTATCTTTGATCTACGATACTTGTTTCAATCTTGATATTAAATTTTCGCATAATTTTAATCTGTCTTGTTTTATTATTTAATTAAAACAAGATAAGGAATAATTCGAATAAAATTTTATTAAATAGATGGCAAGAAGTACTAAAAGCTTAGCCATTCCCCGCCCATGCCGTCAGAGTATCTATCATCCATCATTACTTGGATGAGTAGGGAAGGAGAAGACCTCTTAAATACTGGGAAGAAGAAGAAGAAGGGCGAGGGTACAGATGGCAGACAATGTACGGGTAAGTGTTGGAAGGTCTGATTAACGTGTGGTTGGGCCGCAGTTAACGCTGCTGCGGAGCGCAGAGAGTAGAGCTTCTGCGAAGCTTCGGTTCTCTGCCATCTGCATGGGTTTTGTCGATGTGTTTGTACTTAGCCCCCTCCATCGGCAGAGATAGTTCAGTGTATGTGAGGGGAGCAGAGCAGGTGGCAGTCCATCCATAACGAGGTTAGTGTGAAGAGGAACCGAGACACCCACACATCAATATCTTTGCAAAGATTTCCTTGGATCTATTTTTTACTTTGACATTAAGCACTTCTCCAGATGTTTGACTGTGCATAATTTCTGTATCATTTATTGAAGAAAGAAGAATTGAAGCATCAAAATTTGCCGTCTTTACGAAGCTAAGAAGAAGGCATACGGAAGACGAGATCGAAGGCGACTCTGGTAAGCGCAAAGACCCGAGTCGCCTTCAATCCATTGGCGAGTGCTGCAGCTCATAAGCTGACGATGACGAAGGGTCTCTTGCCAAAGCTAACATGGATATAGAGTCACGCATAGTTACAGATTGGCACACGCCAAACTAAACCAAGCGGAGGAGGACTACATGATAGCGCAAGGCCCGACTCAGCTAGATTGGGAGTGACCTCCCGGGGCAGGGGGAAACGGATGGAGGAGCCTCACTTGCGGCAGATCTTCGCCGTCGGCATGGTCACGCAGATCGGCGCGTACTTCTTCTTCGCCTCCGGCGTCCCCGGCTTGGGCTCCTCCTCGGCGTTCGCGATCCCCTGGCCGATGGCGCACGCCGCGGCCGCGGCAGCCGCGAGCATCACGGCGCGCCGACCCTCGCGCTCGCCGTCGCCGCGAGCTTCGGGGTTGGGCTGGGCCACGTCTCGATTTTTGGCGGCCGCCTGGGCCACGGCAAGGCCCTGCCCGGTGCGACGTCTGATAGAGGGGCGGCCAGGAATGCTGACGGCGCCGCCGAGGAAGGAAGCCATCATGGTGAGTGATGCCATGGCCGCGTCGCCCGCAATGCTGCTCTTCTGGCAAGCTGAGGGGGTCGGTAGATCGAACACTGCTCTAATAAGAAGTAAACGGAGGCGGAGAGGAGATGGGACTCGTGAGGTGCCAATTCGTCTATCTTATCACGAGGAATGAACCTTCCAATGGCTCGAATACACGTGGGATTTCTTCTATCGAGAGCACGAGGACGTCTCCGTTCTCTTCTCCACGTATTCAAGCTTCGGATCAACCATTTCTACGCGGAGGACGGTTATTATTAAATATTTTATTTAATAATACTGTAACCGTTTTCATTTAGTTTATCATTCAATTTCTTCATTTATTATATTTTAAATATTTCGATTTTTTATTTTAAATATAATAATTAGTATTAAATATTTAATATTATTAAAAAATTTTATTATGATCCAATCGTTATAAATTTGAATTAATTCTTGAACGATATGAGTTGGTGATAATAAATATTCTTAACAGGAGAACATCTATATAATCGAGTATTTTGGTCCTAGGCTCAATATCTCTTTGAAGTTAAAATGATTTCTTACACCATCTAAAGCGAGAGTTCTAAGCCAAGAAGTGCCAAAGTTGAAATCGGTATAGAAATTCTTGACAATAATGACCAGAGGCATGCTATTTCGTTCCCGTATCAATTTTTATTGTGTTTCTATTATAATAATTTAGAAACATATTTTGGCATCAAGATTTAGTATCGGAGCCAATTGACCTCTATCTTGATATGAAAGAGTTTTCATTTTTTATACAATGAATATGACTTTATTTTGGTTTCTTTTTGGAACTTCTTGATATATTTCATATTAAAAATAATAAGAATATAACCTTTCAATATTTGGAGTTGGTAAAATACTCATATTATATATGCATATTTGATTATATTAATTTATGTTTATGAGTCAATTTTATATGTCCAAAATGTCTAGTGATCCATATAATCTTAATTAATTAAGAATTAGTCACATCATCCTTAATTAATTAAAATTATATATAAAGTTAAAATAAGGATCATATAAGTAATTAGACATCATATTATGGTTGATTATATTTAATATAATAATTATTATCTCACATAATCTTTTATTATATTTAATATAATTAATCAAGATAAAATATTAGATTATTTTTATAATTAATTTAATAGTTTTATCATAAAGACCATTTGAATATATTTGAATTAAGAATTTAGCCTACAAGTAATTTTTACGTCATGAGATTCATATTTTTGGCATGTTTCACATTGGTAAAACATGCACTTTAAACTATTAAGCCTTAAATTTTGATATAAACATATTTGATTTTATATAGTTTCTCAAACTGTTAATTTATCTAATATTCGATGTGATATTCTCGAACTCAAGGGTGATAACTATAAGACATGGGAGTATAGGGTTCTTCTCCATTTATAGTAGATGGATATTGATTATGCTTTTAGGAATGACGAACCACATGTAGTCAATAATACCAGCACTCCAACTGAGGTTGCATTATATGAGCGATGGGAGCGATCCAATCGGCTCAACGTGATATTTATCAAGACTAAGATAACTGTTGGCATACGTGGTTCTATTGACTAGCATGAGAAGGTCCGAGACTTGCTACAAACTATTGATGAGTAATTCGTTACTTCGGAAAAGACACTAGCAAGTACCCTAATAATAAAATTCTCATCCCTTAGACTCACCAACATAAAGGGTGTGCATGAGCATATAATGCAAATGCGAGATATTGTGGCTCAACTTAAGAAACTCGAGGTTAATATGTTAGAATATTTCCTAGTGCATTATATTCTAAACACCCTTCCACATCAATATGGGCCATTTAAGATTT